AAAATAATCATTATATAATGTCGACTCTACTAATAGAGATATACAAAAAAAGCTTTTGCGACACACTGAACCCATTAAATTTTAGATGAGTCAAGAGTCTATACACTAATTATCACACTCTAGATTCGAGTCAAAATCTTTTTTTTTTTGTACTACGATATAGAAAATAAGCTTTGTAACGACAACGGGAATATTTATTATAATTTGATTACTAAATCAAGAGAATATATAAAAGTACAAATCAATAGCCAAACAATATGAGAATGATGATTATATCGATCTTAATTAATGGAATTAAAATAGTCTTATTAAATTTTGACAAAAATGTTACATCTATTTAAACCACCTATCATCAGCGATTTTTTCATCCGATACCATTACTTTTGTTTTAATATCATCAAGTGAATAACTTTCAGGCTCTTCATTATTTTCATCAAGACTAAAAATATAGATAACATCATTAATTATGATGATAAGTATTAATGATTCAATACCATTCTGTATCACGATCTTCGCCAAATTTAAGTGCTCGTGATGCAGAAGCTACTAAATGAGCATAATGTACAGGAGCTGGTATCGACACTGAGGATGGGTGTGGGTGGGTATGAGTCTTATCTTAACTAGCGCCCTCATTCACACTCTCTTTGATATAATGCTAAAGAGCTTTGATTTAACTGTATATGGTTAAGTAAGATGTGACTGACAACATTATAAGTATTAAACAATACACATTTATCCAATGGGGGAAAAATCAGATTTTGACATCTAAAATCTTTAGTAATCTTGAAACTTTGAGCTTTGCTTGTTCTCCCTTGCATTTATCTCATTCTACAGAAGCAAAGTTGTATTACTGTCTTACTGCATTTCTTCTTCACTATTATTTAATTTTTATTACTTCTATGATTTTATTAAATTTAATTAAATTAATTATTTTATCAGAATAGGCAACAGAATAAATAATATGAATCGATTCTAAAATGAAGCGTTTGAAGGCTTTGACTGTTAGTTGTTAAAGTTGAATTGAAAAATGATTATTTTATTTTAAGGAAATAAACACAACAAAACATATCGCACTTAATAGGTTAAAACAATATTTAACGTAAGTTTACTGTCGCTCTAAAGATCTTACTAATGTATAATCAATCTTACAATCATATCAATTTTATTATACAATGAAATTTTGATAATTACTCATGGATAATATAATTCAAAATTGAATAGAAAATAGTTTTATTAAATTAGACGCCTTTTTTTCTCAAAAGTTGAGATTAAGCTACATTGTAAACTGTTTATATTAATAGAATAATCATGTTTGTAATTCTTGCTCTAAAATAAATCAACAATAATAATATTATCTTTTATTTAAATATAGACTATTTTACTTGGACGAATATAATCAGAGAGACACAACGTATCCCATGCTACTTTATGGTTTAGCACTAGTGTACACATAAGTCGAATAAAATTGGGATCATATTGAGCAGGATGTAAATTTTTAACTATGTTTTCATCGAGTTCATAGAATGATTTGCTGTCTGATTTGTTTGTCGTAGACGACAATGATATATTTATTAATCGCAGCAACAATCTGAATAAAACTCATCTTCTAAAAGTCAAAATTATAGCATAAAGAAACTCACGGAAAAGTTCCATCAGATTCTATGGATAATGAATTCAGATTTAGGTGGATTGGATTCACAGCTTCCGTAATTTTGTTTGTGTCAGAAGGTAAAAACTGCATATCTCTGCATAGATGCCAATTTCGTTTATCATCGACTTTTTCTTCTCGCACAATAGCGACCATTAAATGAACGGGTTGCAATAGTTGTTTATATGTAGAAATGTAAGATATTGGAATCTATTAAAAAATGAATCGATCATCGAACAATGTTTTTCTGTAAGGCTTACAGAAAGATACTAGATTAACATAATGTCTTAACATTGGAATCTCAAAGATTCTAGCTCAAACATTGCAAAATAATCAACATTTTTCTGTTTGAATAAGGACTCTATCCGCCTGATCAATTGTTTCCTATCGAAAGCTGCTGGATTGTTAGCTATCGATGATGCTGAATCGGAGTATGAGTATTAGAAATCTGCTTAGATCTGCATATGCTAGTTAGCTGGACTAATAGGCAAAGTGTTTAAATATATTTTTGATTTACGCGATTCTCAAGTCTATCGAGTTTCCTATTATACAATTATCTTTTTTGATTTTTAAAAAAGTATTTTAAGTAAAATAATATTATCTTGAGTATTCTCACATTAAAATGATAATATGTATATGTTGTATGAATTTAAATGGCTGTATTTTCTAAAAAAGAAAACGATTCGAAACAGAAAAATTTATTATTTCGTTAATAATCTGTTATATTCTGTATATCTGGGAATAGCGAAAACAATTTTTGATGAAATTTTTCTTCTACAACAATGTGTTGTTAGAAAATCAGTAGATAAAGACCCAGCAGAGTTCTTACGCTCATATTTTGGAATAAACATGAATGATAACTTTCAATTCACCAGCCTTTGTTGTGAAAGCGATTGATCAGTAGAAAGCGTTTCTTAGTAACTTTGATGCATGATGCCTAATTCTACTTCTAGATATACTTCGATTTACTGTAAAAATTAGAAATCGTCTATGTTGCGATGAATTACAATAGATACTTTTAAACTCAAGATTATGATTAAAGTAAAATAAAGTAATATTGAAAGATATTTTATCAAAATTCGATATGAAACAGTTCTGTTGCAAACTGAAAATGAATAGTGTGATGTCAGTGTCTACAACGTAAACCTTGTCAAAACTTTCGAAATCGATTACTTTAGTTTATCATGAAATGGTGAAAGAATGTTTTGTTCTTTATTTTCTCAGATGAGTTTCATAAATGCTTATTCCTTCTTAATAGTGAAAAACATTAAGTAAGTACTGCCCATGCAGTTTATGCTGATTTTTGAAACATTGGTTTAAAAAATTTGATCAATGGTGATCTAACTAGTTTTAAGTTCAAAAGCTTATGAGTTAAAGACTATAGAATGGCAAAAGATACCAAAAAGAAAACAAACTGAATCTTCGCTATTAATACTTACTTGTAGTCGGGGTAAAATACTTTTTCCTTTGTCTGCTTTTGTCTTGCATCCTTGAATACGCGTGACATACGACAACTGACTTTTATCTAGCAATTTATCAAAAATATCTTTATCGTGTTGTGTCTTTTGATAAGGATGAACATCATGTACAAATTGTAACGAAGTTGATAATTCCTTTGGCACTGTTGTTTGTGCAATTTGACAATGAACATTTAAGGTAAAATCATCCGAATTGTTTATAAAATAACTTGTACATGGGCTTATTACTGAAATCGCGTTGGTACTCACAGATTCGTTTACAACAGAGTCTATGACGTCTTGAACAGCTTCTCGTGTCACAAGATTTATATTTTCAATGAAATTTAATTCATTGTCGTCTAATGGAAATACTGGTTCCAAAGTTCTCTGTTCAATTAATGTATCAGAATCGCATATATTTTTTTTGATATCATCGTTTGATGACAGTAAATTTATCTGATTGATATCAGTTAGTGGTTGACCATGATTAATCGAATAGTCGGATTCATTGGATTGGTACATATCTGGAAATCCTTTTACAAAAATGGAAAAGTATTCTTGATTAAGATCTTCTCTCGTTTTTCACAAGGATCTTACCTTCTGTTGGTTGTGAAATGAACAATTCTACAGGACATGAGTATTCATTGTCCTGATTAAAAATCCCATTGAACTCTTCTGATGTTGTATTTTCGTTATCAATTGTATGACATTCGAATAATAAAGCTCGTGAACAGTCGTTCGAGTGTGTTTCCTTCTCACATTGATCAAGATCATAAAAAACTTAAATTATAAGTAACAGTTTAAACATTTTTAGAGTAAATCATCGTACAGATGATTTGTAAAATGTCTAACATGAATGGAAACTCAAAAGAATCTCGTGTTCAAACTGGCTAAATTTATAATCAATCGTTATAAAGATTTTAATCGCTTTTTGAAAGTGATGTTTTTCCACAACTAGACATGCCTATTTATTATGTGATTATAATAATTAAATACTTTCGGAATTTTATTTCTTTCAATATTTTTCTTATGTAATTCTAAAAAATTTAACTCACTTGATGAAAAATCATTCCGTAATATATCACCTTGGAGCTCACGCGTATATGTAAGAGGTAGTTGTTCGTATAATTCTTCTAAATAGTCATTGTCTAACACAAGCGAGTCTTTAAAACATTCATCGTAGATTTGAATTTCAAAAGTATCTGGGCTAATACTAAATGATTTTCCAACTTGTTGTTTGAGAGATTTCAAAGACATATTGGAGTTAAAAGTAAATCGATAAAATTTGTGATTGAATCGAAGATGAAGGTTGTAGAAAGCCATATATTAAATAAAATAATTCTTTTCGTATATATTATATACAGTAAGTGTAAAACTGTAGTATGAATGTTTTTCTTGATCAGTACTTTAATTTAAACGAAATGTATATATGATAATAGATGAGTTTGAATATTCCAATCTGTTTTCATGGAGATGAAATCATTGTATTTTCTATCGTTTTACGTTCTTGGGCTTTTTCATTCGTACAAAAAAAAAACTGTAAAAACATCGACTTGAGTATTCCAGCACATTTTTTATACGAGTAATTTTTTGTTCTCCTTTTTCTCGTTCTCGCCTACATTTCACGATAAAAAAAAGAGAAAGATAAAAAAAAAGAGCTTGTGTAGCCTTGTTCTTGTACTTTGCAGACGACATTTAGTCGTTTTTGTTTTTTTTCTTTCTTGCTTATTTCTAATGAAAAATAAAACGATTCAACAGAAAGAGCTCGTTAGATTCTTCCAACCCTCGACTATTATGCGATGAAGTTTTCCTACCACATCATTTCTAATCTTATGAAAGACATATAGATTTACCTTATTCATATTAAACGATCAGACGAGTAAGGTAGTAGCATCATGCAAGTTCACACAAAATTAGATATTCTTGATTGTCGTCGTAAGTTAATACGTGCTTATAAAACATTGAAACTTACTGGAATGACAACAAGGAAAGACATCGAAGCTTTTATCTTAAAAACATATGAATGTGTAAAGCTTCCATTTGATATTGAAATTCGTGATCAATATGATGGCTTTGTCACTTTGGATGATAATTATATAGACGACTACAATCCTTTCAATCCAAACGCAACCGTAACAACAGGAGTTCAACCAACCAATTCCGCAACACCAACATTGATATTGCAAGTTATCTTGTTTAGTAAGTTAATTGGTAGCAAATTGCTTTTGTTCTCTCTAATCATGAATCTTTGTGTGCATAGATTATACCTATAATTCAACTATCGAACAAGAATCCGTGAATACTGTAGAAGGTTTGTTTACATTCAAATGGTTGTGTATGTTAATCGATTATTTTCTTTTTATATATTTAATAACAGGTATCCAGCAAAATGAACATACTCAACAAATTGATCAGGTTGTGTCGACTTCAAAATCACAAACACATTGTACTATTTCTTTTCCAAACAATTCAAAAATGGCTTTTATTGATGATTTCAATGTCAATAGTGAACAAAGAGATCAATACATTTCTGATGCAATAAATGTGGATACCGGAGATATTGTTGGTAAACTTAGTATGATTCAAGCTCCAAAAACTTCGAAACAAAAATATGGAAGTAGATTGCCTCGATTTAAAGTAATCATGTTTTAAATTATTACACATTTATGAATATCACCTGTATGTTTTTTCTATTGATAGATTGGGGCTGATGAACTTAAAAACTGCAATGGTCATGTCTTAACTTTGCTCGTTTACATTGTACTGGATGTATATCAACGGGGGAAAAGGTGCCTTTGCTATCATCCTGAACGAGCTTTTGTCAAAAAAAAATAATATAAAAAAATTATTGAATCGATATGAAATACCGATTACAACTAAGAATTGGATGAGCGACAAGGGAGAAAGGTAAATTAAATTCATTATTGCGAACTTGAATATTCTTCTTATATCATTTATAGACTTGAATTAATAATTGTGGCAATTGAGGGAGCAAAAAAACACCCTAGTACACCTCTAAATATTTTATGTGAACTCGCAACTATTGATGAAAGCAAATTATCACACTCATCACCAGATTATATGAAATCTTGTCTTGCTCTTGTTCTCCAAAAAGATGGTGTTACTCAATGGAAAACTTTAGTTCTATCCAATGAAATATCTTTCACAAGTAATAATAAGTGAATTTATTACAGATAGAGAAGACTTTTTCGAATATTTGAAAGGATGTCGCATATCGGATGTGGTCAATATTTTGGATACTATGAGTAATATAGCATCGACATCATCGGAAAAAAAACGATCAAAGAAACGTCGTATACTGTCTTTTTCTTTTATCTCTTGATTATAACAGAAAATGTATTTTAGAAAATGCACCAGATCAATGCTCCACACGAACAAAAAAAGCAAAAAGACAAGACCATTCATCAACGATAAATCTATCTATAAACATGGTTGATTCGTCTATGCATATCAATCAGGGTCTATCAGCATGCTATGATACTAGACAAGTTATAGGTAGTACATCTCAAACGATGTTAAATGCTCTGCCATCCGGTTCACAATTTCTTTCAGTAGGTTTTAGAAAATATTCTTATTGTTCTTATGAAAAAAAAAATTTTTTTTTCCGTACACATAGAGCAATTTTTTTAACACTTTAAGTATTAATTCGGAAAATTAACTTTTCATTTCTCTCAATATATATAATCTGACACTATATAATTGTTTTTATTCTATTGTGCAGAATTCACCTCAAACCAACAGCTTACCTGGAAACACAAACAGTGTATATAATATTGATCTTAATGATGCAAGTGTTCTTCAACAAATGAATACGAATGGTGACATACTAAATAATGATCCATCACTATATGATGCTGCTGACTGTAATACGAATTGTCCGTTCTGCGGTACTCCTGGTTATGATATTATCTGTTGTTACTGTGGTGAATTCTCATGAAGACATCATTCTTTTTTTTAAGATTTGTTTTTATTGTTAGCTTTTTGTTAACTTGTAGTTTTTTTATTCTTTCTAAACAAATAAAAAAAGGCATTTTGTGATAACAATATCTAATCTATAAAACAAAAAAAAGGATGAAGTACATACTCTTTCTTTTTTACTAATCCTCAAGAAACAATAATCAGATATATTACAAATTTCATTGATGTCATGATGTTAATGTATAGGATTTACTTCATTCGCCGTAGCGTGTTAATCGATAATTATCGCGACTTAGTTAATCAGAGCATAATGGATGAATGAGTAATAGAAGAGAAACATTGGAATAAAACAATGAATTATTAGACTCATCTATTACTATGAATCTTACGACAGCAACATTAAGTTTGAATGTATAGTTCATATAGAAATTACAAAAATAAAATAGGAGTAACTTCATTGATGAAAAATAAATAGGGTTGTCTCAATAGGAGAAAGTGACTCCCAATTTTGGAAAGTTCTTGTTTTTCTATAGTGGAGTTTCACTGTTTTATTGTTAATTTTTTCTCGCAAAATCGCAAAAAAAAACTCAACCCCTTTCCATTCAAAATCCAGTTAACTTTGTCAAAAATAAATATGGTATCCATTTTTAGAAAAACATACAGTCAAAAGACGTTTCAGAAAAAAAATATGTGAAATGCACAAGTGTAAAAGTACATTTTAGCGAAGAGCAAAATTACGACAGGCAAAGCAACATAAAGCGACGTTGTTAAATACATTTCAGCGATTGATTTTTACTTAACGAAGTTCGATTATACATGTTTAACGATGATTTATCGTGTTGGATGTATGTATTAGTAATACGTCTTATTGCTCTTTCCAACATTTTCATATGTTTTTGAGGATCTAAAGTCAGTCTTTTCTTCATTAGCTGATACCTATTTGTTTTCTACTGTGACTATCTTTGCGGAAAAAATCTCTGCTGATTCTAGCTTTTGTTGATTTTGCATTGCACAGAATTTTGCTAATTTTGCTTTTTGGTTATTTCTTATTTACTGAAAAGCTTTTTTCTGTTTGTAATGATGCCACAAAATTTTTTCAATACGCCTCTTGAGTCTTCGAATCCCCTGCCCCCACAATCCTAACGGTGTAAGTGTGGTGTTCAGTATATGGGTATTCATGTTTTTCGTGCAATATACACACTCACCCGAATATATTTTGTCCTATATTTCTACAGACCAAAAAATGTGCGTATTAATGTTTTGCTTTGTTTTCGAATCAAGTGTAGCATTTATACCTGTTGTGAAAGCTATCTGTCTCTCTTATTATCCTTCTCTTTCTCCATACCCTAATGTGTGTACCTTATTATTTCTCTCTCTTCCTCTCACTCTCTTCTTTTTATTTTCCCATGTCGTTGATATCGCCTTTATTGTAACGATTAATCGTGGTTTCCAGAAAAGACTAATGATTAACTGCGATGCATTGGCAATTTTTGTCACATTTATGATTAGTCACGAGTAATTGCCGATTTTTTAGTACTAGGGATCAGGATCACGACCAATCGACGATATCTGTTATCACATACGGTCAGAATTGCTTTTATATCTCTAATATCCGGTGGACTAACTCCTTTATCTTTTGACTCATGTGCTCTCACACTCTCTCTGCATATATATATGACATGCCTTTCCACTATAGTGATCAGTCGCTTGAAAGTACACTGTTGGTAACTTGCTTTAGAGGGACAGAGTTGGAGAGAGAGAGTAGGAAAACGTGAGTAGAGAAGTGAAGGAACCAGAGAGAAGACGGAGAATCATGTAATAAAATATATCGCAATTTTTTTCATAAAAATTGTGAAAAAATGCCAATTTCAATGATTTTATCGCGATTAATTGCCGGTTTTCGCGCGGTTTTGACCATATGAGCTATAAAATAAACAAGTTGAGACCTATTTATATTTAAAAAAAAATAATTGTTGTAAAATGAGATGTATTGTACGTCAAGTATAATGACCACAGTCAATATTCATAGTAATAAATTTCATCATCATATTTCATCTTTTTTTCAAACACTGAAGAATGCAGTTTAGTGACATCCTTGCAATGATTAGTACATTGAACACAGTAGTCTATTTGAGACGAGAACGAGAGCATCACGAAACTACAGTTAGTACCTTCTTAGATATATTGCTATGTGAATATCTCGTATATTAATATAAGACTTATCTTTGGTCCTACTTTGTAGTGTATACGTTGTCTTACACAAGAATTTAATTACCTTTTTGGCATGTCATTACTTGTTGGATGTTTCCTTTTTTTTTGCATGTGGCCTCATGTTATTTTTGTCTGTTTTATCAATTTTAGATGTGATTGATCTCATTTTTAAACAACTGTCAACCTATTAGCTTGTTCTATTCCGTTTGGTTTTTTGAATGAAAGACACGACAACGCGTCTATTCTTAAGTAATTTATTATCTTTGCACAAAATCTATCTATTTGTTTCAAAGAATAAAGTATGATCATTTTTCATTTGATTTCGCCTTTAAAATAAATCAGAATTGATTACAGATTTCTTTATAAGGCAAAGTGATACTTAATAAAATTTGCATCCCAAAATCGAATTAATTGATATAAATTCACATCAGAGAAATCTACTATAGTTAAACATTAAATATTTTTTATCATTCGTATTCTTATATTCGCAGACAAAATATAAAATGACAAAGAAATATGAGCATGGGTTGAAGCGTTTTTCAAAGAATATGATTCACTGGATGTTCAAGATTAGATTATTAAATACTTTCAACCCGATGCAATTTTGAATATAGGAGATCTACCACCAATCGAAGGGCATAAAGAAATATGCTATTACGTTGAACAGGAACATGCTCAAGTGTCGATCATAAAACATGACATTCAACATGTAGACTGTTTCTCTAATCCAATTTATGTACGAAAGAACTCTGCTATTCTTGTCAAGGACGATTTTGAACTGGACGAAATCAGAGTTAAAAGAATTTTTTTTGTATTTTGGAAGAAAATTAACGAAGACAAGTTATCATCATTGAATATTTATTATGATCTAACTTCTCTTCTCAAACGAATTACAATGTATTCATCAAAATAAAATATGTTAATTACGTTGTGGGATAATAAACTGTTCATATAATTAAAGCTGAGATTGATTTAAGACTAATATATGTCTTTTACAAATAAAAAATAAAATATTGTATGTAAGTTTCACCTAAGATTTTTCATCAGTTTCTCTATTGTTACATTAAACAAGATAAACACTGGTGTTTAGTAACATAAAACAGTAAAAGAATATTTGTAAATTTCAATGATTACATAAACTTCAATTGATGGTAATGACTACAAATATGTCGATATTTTCAATCTAGATTTTCTATTCGAAGACACTTAAGGTTAAAAGTTAATATCGTCAATTGCATAAAAAGCTTTTAAATAAACAAAGTAAAAATAGTTTGACGTCTTCTACTTTATTCTATAATGTTCAGATCACAATTATCAAATAGATGTTTTTGTCTTTTATTTAGAAGTGAAAACTTCATAATTTTCTATACTAATTAGCTTATTGATACCGAGAACAACAACTAGATCTATGGATTTCTATTACTACACCAATCTAATGGATTACAATTGTTTTATTTTTGAAAAATTCGTTTTACAAAAATATTCTAATTAATTCCATCATGAATGTGATTTTCGAAATCCAAATGATAACTTATCGTCCAACGCCTCCATAAACTGGACATTTTATACTTTTATTATTTTTTCTCACAACATCATATTTGCAACGACGTTTATTGAAAATTGCTTGACAATTTTCTTTGTCATACTTAGTTGGAACCGTGAACATCCTACAATGAGAAAAAAAAACAAATTTTCATTTATTTATTCGAGTATATCATGAACATGCTTGTAAAGTGAATTATATTCATAAATATGCGTGTAGACCTGTTGAAGCAAATAACCAGCTTCATAAAAAAAAAGCTTGTTTGGATCATGTAACGTACTTTTATCTTAATTTTTCATAGTAAAGTGGAATTTGTTAAATAGTTAGAAAAAATTAACACCGTCAATGTAAACTACTCTCATTAAAATTTTAGGTTCGTGAATTGTGGAAAGAAAACATCCAGTAATGTTCAAATCGCTTGATTTGAATTAATCAACATATTCCTTTATTTAACTCAGAGGGTCATAGTTTCAAATATTTTCAAGGCACCTAAATATACTTAGAACATGCGTCCATTGTAAAATACAAAATGTGATTTAGTTCTATAAAGTGTTTTGATAATAGTGTATGGTAAGAAAACAACTTAACTACGTAGAATCAAAATGAAAAATCATTTTAATCACATCATTAAGTGCCTAGTAAAGATCCTTGAACGAGAAGTCAACGAAAACACTTACGTGCAACAGTTAATTCCACTTTTGCTGCATGAGCATTTGTGACAATCTTTTGATTTCCAATCATCATTAAATTTGCGTAATTTGCCGTCTATTATTCCGCAATTTTCTTTAATCATGAAAACATTTTTTCAGTATTGTATTTATTTTCTTTCGACAAATAAATTACTTACGTGCATTTTGCTTTGGTAATGGTTTTCCGTGACAAGATGCTTGAATAGTATCAAACATGAGCATGATAATGACTAATATGACGAATAATAATTTCATTCTAGTATTATAAACTAAAGACAATAATTCTTTTGATTTTTCCACTTGTGTTCACTATATTTCAACTGACATGCAACTTTTCATTATATAAACTTCATTTTTCTTTTTAATCAAAATGATAAGAAAAAAATACGTGGAATCAGTTTCAATGTCATGATATAGTCGATCGAAATGTCCATATTTCAATATTATTTACTGAGATAATTTGAAAAATGATATTTCACATAGAGTAAAGAAAAATTGGTAATAGGTGAAGCATGGAACCAAGGTAGATAAAATAAATGTAACAGATACTGTAGTTGAATCTCTCTTCGTAGGATC